GGGGGGGGGGGGGGGGGGGGGGGGGGGGGGGGGGGGGGGGGGGGGGGGGGGGGGGGGGGGGGGGGGGGGGGGGGGGGGGGGGGGGGGGGGGGGGGGGGGGGGGGGGTGGGGGGGGGGGGGGGGGGGGGGGGGGGGGGGGGGGGGTTCGCATGGAGAGGGACAAAGGCCCTCGCCCTTCCACCCATATCCTGATGTGGTGACGGGGTTCTCAGTCCGAGCTCTAAACGGATAGGGGAATCATATTTTTCATATCTTTCGTAAAACAGCATTTTGTTTCTACATGTTCCCTGTGTTCCTTTTCTTGTACTTAGACCATTCTTTGGAGGTATTGCCCCACAATAACATTGTTGGGAGGCACGTGTCCCTTTGCCCCCATTGAGTTCGGCGCTTGTTACTGGGACGTATGTTGCTCAACCTATAATCACCCAATTTCATGACATTAATTTGAAATTTGGCTGCTTCCCAAAGGCCGAAATGGCGATGGGCCAAAATCGAGTACAGCCATACTTAAATCAGCAGCTTGCGTCACAGAGTGACACTACAATTTTCAGGCCTCTACATTTTGGGGCACGATAGAAAGTGGTTCAAGTGACTCGGAATATGTCTTTTTTTGCTATGTTGTCCCACGAGAGTTGCTTCAAAATCTTCTCGTTGTTATTGATATTGAAAGTCAATGTCTCGACAACTGCCGATTTTCTTCCAGCGGAGCAGATTTTGGAAGAGCAAAGAGAAGAGTTCGACCGGTGTTGATCCGGGACGCATGACAAAGGGGAAAATAGCAGAGAATGAAAATAATAGAAAGGCCAAACGTATGATGACGCGAGAAATCATCATAGAGAGGAATTGGCTTTTCACGGACATCAAGGATCAAGGGTAAGGTTGCAGAGAGAGAAGAAACGGACGTTGTTCTCACTTCGTTCTAACGAGTAGTAAAATCAGCTAACTCGGCTTTAAACGTTGCTGCGAGGGCGGCCTCGGCAAGCTCTCTAATGGCATACTTAAAACGTTCTTAATAGTCTTCTGAGTCGCTAGTTCAATACAGCCAGCGGAAGCATTCTTGAAGGTCAGATGGAATCCGTGGTAGTTCGCACCAGATTCGCAAACTCAAGGAAAGCACATGGAAGTCGGGTTGCGCTTGGCCCCTTCAGGAATACAGAGCCGAAATACTCAACATCAGAGACTAAAGCCACATACTTCTTTTCCACACATGGAAATTTGTAACAACGGATTATGAACATCTCCCAGAGATGCGTAAGAAGTATGATTTCAATTCTTTGCAGAGTCGGTCAGTCATTGGCTCATCTTTAGGGCATGTGCAATTCTCCAACGGTGAGTCATAGTTGTTTCGACTAAGTGCAGTTAGGACAAGCCAGATAACATGCTAAGCTTTAGCCGTCGATGGTCAAATTATGCCTCATGTACGAGTCAACCATAAGTCAATGATGGCTCGCTGAAAATTATTCTTAAAAGGATTGAGCTCTAGGAGGACAAGAAGAGAACTTCGGCTAACTTATACGGAGTAAATTTTATTTTCCGAAATGTTTATTCTATTGCGATGAAGAGGACGCCAGAGTCATTTTGAGCAGATGGAGTCTTTTCTCGTCAACAACTGAGATGTCACTCTTGGTGAAAGATGTCACATCTGGAATGTAACAGACGAATGCACAGGCCCTAATACTAATCTAGCTTCAGTTCCTAACAACCTCTAGCAGCAAATTAAAACTTTAACCAGACATTGTCGTCCTCCTGCTGGTCCGGTACGACTGACATCGGAAAGAAGACAAGCCCGTATCGTGAGTTAGTTAGTGCTGCGTTCGTTAGGGCCTCGGTATTCAACCCTTCATGCCTCCAAGTTTTCTCACACTCTTGTGTTTTCTCGGGCAGGACGATGAGGAATCTCCTTTCTAGACATTTTGCCAAATTCCTGGCCTCCGTCCCGCATCAGCACAGTCTTTTCTTGGTCTGAGCAGATCGCCCGGATCTTCATGTAGGCCGTGTAGATTAACAGAAAGTTTTCACTATAGCTGGCATAGCATTTAGCCACATCTTGTGTCAGTGAATCAGAAACTTTCGGAACGCCCTGCATATCCCTCACCTTTTACTTAAATGACAGCGAATTACTGTCTAAATACAATAAAAAATAGAGCAGGATTCATTTGCGGAAGGCCTACGCTTGAAAATCGTGTCCTTTCATTGTAACATGAGTCACAAAAACTTTTTTTTTCAAATTTTCTCGCATTAAGAAGAACTGAAAAAAGAAGTCGTTGTATTATATACAACAAAAGCTCAATGCCTGCAATCGTTATGCCTTCAGGGACGATCTGAAATTGAAAATTCAGAAGGCAGGGTGGAATTAATTTAAGAAAAAATTGTGCATATGAAACATGAGTCACGATGGAATGAACCAGGTTGCGGGTCCAATTCCAATAGATTTGCAATGGAGCGATTTCAATTTCTAGTTTTTAACGAAAGGGTAGGGCTTCCCCTAAATTTGCAATTCAATGACCAAATACCAATGCTCATCAGGAAAGCAAAGACTACATAGTATCTATTAGAGTGATCATCGCGTGATCATTGATCATCAGTGATCATCAAGTGCATTTAGCCTGCTTTCTGGTAACATTTCAGCAACTCTTTGAGTGGGGGGAGCTCTGTGTGGGAAATCTTCCCGATATGCAGAGCCATCTACAGAAAATGCACCTATTGCACGCGTGGATCGAAATGCACTTTTCCTAACACCAGGGGCAAGTGCAGACGTGAGACTACAGCTCTCTTTCAATGAAAGTTGTTGTCATTGAGAATTTCATTTTAAAATGCCGTTGATAACGTAACACACAATTAATATTCAGGAAGGAACTTCTCACCCGGCTTCGTAAGTGCGTGGAGGACAACTTATCATAACGAAGGCCACGATAATTCAAGGACCGCCACGATGAAAGTCATCAACGATGCATATTACCATGCGAACAATATGCAACAGATGTGAAAAGTTTCCTTTTTGGATGAAGCAACTTGGGATACAATAAAAATGCAGATTTGGTAAAGAAACGGATTAATTGTAATTATCTTCCTTGCAGCCGAACTAGAACCGGGGGAAACACAGCTCTAAATCTATGTCGACTAATAAATCTGAACTGAATTGAACAGATAGCGAGCAAACAAAAGTCGAAAACGTTGAAATTTTCAACACAACTTTGCTGATCCCGCACTTCCAGTTTTGATTTGGAGAGTCACGGAAGAAACTAGGGAAGGAGCCCAAGGATCGGATGAGTCAGCTCGCAGGGGGTGGGGGGGGAGGCGCTTGACAGGGGAAGAGCTCCGCCCAGCCCTGGCTTTCTCGCTTTTCTCCACGTTTTTCCTCTTGCAAGGCCGAGGAATATGACGTGTCGGTCGATCGTTCCCTGCATCAGTGCAAATTAAGGGCATCGTGCAATTAACGACACCGATCCCGATCGACTCGTTCAAATCGATCAGGGCTTTCAACCTTTGAAGCAGTGCATCAGAGCGAACCAACAACGCCTTGCAACGTTGAGTCAAAAACCTTTATTATCGCAGGCGATAGGGTAAGACCATCAAAGTTCGGACAGTGCCTTAGTTCAGACACCATAAAATAAATTGTTGTAAAACAAAGCATTTACGAGATCACCCCCAGAAACAGAGCTTCCCAACTGCGATGAACTGTTTCTGTTCACCAATGCTTGGTTTTGTAACGATGTACGTGGTAAGTGCCCGAACTTGAATGGTTTTATCCTACACCTCAAATTCGCTTTTCACATATCTCCAATTTAAAAAAAAATATTTTCACAATTCCGTCTCCCAACAGTCGAGGACCTTTTTCACCTCTCTGTGCACTTGTGCAGCCACTCGCAATCGAAATACAGCCTCTCTCTAGTCTCCTTGCATCCTTAAAGGCTTCAAATGAATTTCAGGATCATAAGGAGAATCAGCCTTCGCTTGCACACAACCTTGGAAACGTTTTTCTTCAAGTAAGTATGCTACTACTCTAGTCGTAGAAGTTTTAGGTCACTGCTCATTGTGACTATTTGCTTCGGAAGAGTAGAGGTAGAGTAGAGGAGCTTATAAAATGTCTACACGAACAACGAACCATCACCTCAATCCTGTAACACCGCACTAAATAGAAAAAATGTAACGCAGGACGTTGTCGTGCAACCTCTTGAAAAAAGAAATTCTTGAAGCAGCCTATATCATAGAATTTCCAAACCTCTTCAACAGCGTATACAGTATATGAACCTGCTTACAAGCTAACAAAGGAAGGAGGTAACGCGACTCATTCGTCAACTCATGCAACATTGTCTTGATGAGAATGTGAGCCTGACACGGGTCCAGCACTTCCTAATTGCATTTGACCGAATTTCCTTTCGAAAACAAACATAATGTTTTCTAGTTGATGACTCTCCAAATCCCAATATAAAGTCAAAATAGAAATATAAAGTGCTTTCGTAATTTAAAAAATCGCTGTCTTCGCGCTATCGTTCGTGCTCGATGTTACTTAGCAGCTTCATCGATGAAATCATATCCTTGGACATCGAGAAGTCGAAACTTGTGCGTCTCGAATCATCATATTATGGGGACGATCGCAGTGGATGAAATAGGAAATCCGAACCGTTGCGGATTCGAACTACTGGGACGACACCCGCAACGATATCGACTATGCTGATTTCAGCAGTCTTTGTTTCCCAATTTTTTTGCGCATTGTTGTGTATCTTTTACAGATTCGGCTGTTTATTGGCGAGTCGACCGTGGCTATTCATCTTTGCCTCCGCGATTCTACCGTCATGCCTTGCCCCGGGATTAATGTATATGCAAGTGCAGCATGGAGACAATGTGAATGCTTGGTTCCGGCCAGAATCCTCCGTCTACAAAACTGTTACATGGATCACGAAGAGTTTCCCTGAAGGAGTTTTATACGAACAAATAATCTTGTCTGGGCCTAATATTCTCACTCCAGAATCTTTCAAATATGTGAGGTGTTACACGTTAGAAAAAAATAATAATTTGAGATATTCAAGTTCTATTGCCTTCCGTCATCTTGCAGATGGCTGCTCTGGACAAGAAAATTCGATCCATAAAAGCCGCTGGACATGCATGGGATGAAATCTGTGCAAGGTACATATCGCAAAGCTAAGATATACTTTACGTTACGGAAAGAAATCAGGGTTATAGATACTTCTATCTGGAATCGGTTTCTCTAATGACTGGTAGAAAAAGTACATAGCAAGGACATTGAAGTGGAAGTCCCTTTTGTCGTATGTCATCCATCATGACTCACGCAGGCCGGACGAATTCCTGGAGGGGCACGTCAAGGAGGATAGGCGAAAAAGAGATGCACAAAACCTTCGCAATGGAGAGGATACACGAGCAGGTCCAAAACGAGGTACGTACGAGCCTATTCATGGTATGCTCAAAAAAGACCCACGACTTCATGCTTTCGTGACTTTGCACTTAGTGGAGTTATTCTCATGAAACTTCCACAAATGCATAGATGGTTTCCTAATACCTTTTTCGAAATTCCATGCAAATTTGTTCCTCTTGATCAAAGCTATGAAATACGATTATTGGGGGAAAAAAATCGGAAATTGAAAATGAACAAGGGAACCTAGCCCTTACATGGTAGACTCCACATACCTGGTATACGGGGTGTTAAAAATGTTATGCACTGTTTAGGTGACCATAGTGCTGAAAGGCATGGACATGGAAACTTGAAATTCATTTTTTTAACCCATTTTACCGTGAGGATTCCGAATCACATGGTACATCCTCATGTTATGATGAAACCATCACCGAGTCTGTGTGCGTGGCAGCATGCGTGGTTATATGCCTTGCTCTTTAGCGCCGTTGTTTGCTACAAGTTGAAGGCAACACATTCCACACTACCGCTCCGAGCCAGGTAGGAGTCATAAGAGGCTTGGAATTCTCAGCGCAGCATAGCGTACCTATGCAATACGCATGCGCTATCAAAACATCTATTTTGCAAAACCAAATGACTCGCACAGGTCTAGTCATTACTTTCCGATCTCTTGCGGCAGGAGGTCACTATATCGTACACTTTAGCATTCTTACCTCATCAGTTTCCTATCGAATGACTATGTAGGGGTTTTCTTCTGTATTCCTTAGACTTTTCTAAACATCAAAAGGGCCTTCCTCACATAATAGCTTTGTAGTTGGACTCGGAAGAATGGGGAGAAACAGTGGTCTTGTGTGTCCCAATATGTAGCGGAACTCTCGCAAGATGGGAATTTTTTAAAATAAATTTTGCGTTGCCGGACTTTTTTCCTCATCTGGATCATGAATCAAGAAGCGGAAGATGCTCGGAGGGAGAAAATAAACAAGATGAATAAGTTTCACTCTTGGGTAATCATATTTATAGGAATATCTGCAGAATTTCAGATAGCTGCAAGTTAAGCAACTTGAATGATCAAATGCTCCTCATCATCCGTCTCCGAGAAAATAGAAAATCAAGGACTCTCTTTGGGCCCCAGTTGTCCCAAGCCGGCCTCGGGGTCACTATATTTGTCTCTATAAACCATTTGTCATCCTCTCCATTTCATTTTACAATCCATCTCACAAATTTGTTCGCATTTATACTTTCGGGTATTGGTAGATGCCATATAGTAAAAAAAAAAATTACAGAAGAAAAATGTGTATGAGGGCAGCCCGCTTCGCACTGACACTCGCAGTCGTCGTTTTTTTGGTGGCTACGGTCGGCTTTTGCAATGGAAGAAAATCCGGTTGCGCGAAGGAGCATAGGTGCGCTCCGAGACTAGCTTCTCTAGTTCCCGCTTATGGACATACCTCCTCTTCTCCATGTGTCCTATACACTCCACGTCCCTTGCTCCGAACTTATTCTGAGGTATCCCAACTGATATTAAAAATATAAAGGGCTTCATGATCATATAAAGTCATTTACAAATGGATAGATTTACACAAAGGCAAAGCATTAGAGGACAGTCAATAATAAAGAATTACGATGAATTTCTAACACATTAGGCGAAACAAGTGATAACTTGTACAGACGACTGAGAAATGCATTTAATAATGTCTGTCCTAGTAGTGTCCAGGTTTTTCGTGTTATGAGAACTTAGAAGGAGTTTCCCATTTCGCAAAAAATGAATGAATTAATCACTATCCAAGGTAATAGAGCGCCGAAGGCGCAACCATAGCAAACAAACTCGCTAGTACCATATATAACCTAAAGTACGAGGGTTTGGTCAGACTCTGTATGGCCTGTATCTGAAAGCTTTTTTTTTTAGGGGGAGGGGGCAAGAGAACCTCTCACATTGCAACAAATTTCTCGTGATTCTTCTGCCACGCTTGTACTCTGCACTCTTCAGACCAGAAACATATGTGATTCTTCTGATATAAACAGGTTCTTCCGTTTCTTTCAGGGGGAAATGACACATCCGACGATGGTGTGCCTCTCAAGGAATCTGTTGGCGATTCACCACGAATAGTAGAAACCGAAACGGCCAATGATTCCAGCGACCAAAAAAACCCGAGGACACTGGCAACACCGTCACCATTACCGTCACAGACGAAAGAGAAAAAGATATCACCAACGGATGAAACAACGCCAGCATCAATATCTGCAACGACAATAAAATCCCCGCAATCGAGCCTGATCAAACCGGTTCAAGACGATGCAGAAGAATCCTTGCAATACGACTACAATTACGGTTGGAAAGACGATTCGTCTGGCGTCGAGATCTTCGGAGGAGACGAAAACGAGAAAGGAAGTGTCCTGTACGATGACAAGTGCATCTACTCCAGCTCTCTTCTTCTGTGGAAAGAGGATTTCGACTTCGACACCATCACCACGGCAGAGATCCGAGACAAAGTCACCAAAGCCCTGGACGACGAGTGAGTTTCCGAGCCTAATTTTCTTTTATGCCAAATGAGTTAATGGTATCCCTGCAGATATTTTCGCAATATAATTATGATTCCCAAGCCAGGCAACTCGGCCTCCTCGTAAACTAGGTAACTCCACCGCCTCCTAAAATAGGCATCGCGTTCTATGCCTGTTTATATTTAATAGTTTAAAAAATGTGCCGTACTAGCCCACTGGTGCGTTCGCCTCAGCCAATGAAGCGAAAGAAAGTTTGTGTGCCTTAACAAAGAGGCAGAGATCGTGTTGTTCTCCCTTCGTCACCTATTTTGACGACGAAATTTTTGGCCAATGCCTAGGAAATTACCTGGTATTGGCCAAACAAAAAAGAAAATCAAATTAGGCGACGAAGGGAAAACATCACGCCCTCTGCCTCTTTGGCTGTTTCGTAAGGCACGCACAGACTTCCGTTCATTTCACTGGCAGAAACGAACGCACCGGCGGGCTTGTAAGCACATTTTTTTACCTATCAAGTTTGAACTGGCATGGAACATGATACAGTTCCTCAATAATTCTCTTTAAATAAGGTAATTACCTGCTTTACTCCATTCGCATGCTGTGTTTAAAAAATAGTGTCGATCTAATGATATGTACTGTCATTATTAGCGAAAATGATTTGGCAAAGTTTTTTTTTAAAGACTGTGTATTTAACGGAACCTTTCAAGTACAAATTTTATGTAATTTTCCCATATAATCCCCCTGCAAACTGATATATTTGTCCTTTCTTGCCACAAGCTTCATAATCCCCACAGCAAATAATTATTTGGACTGGTTTCGTAGCCAGACACGGACAGCGTTCACTACAGCGTCGTCGTCAGGAAACATCTGGCCTCGTAATGCCTCTTGCCCTGGGCGATGCAGATCGTGTCATGTCGCCCATTTTCCAGCCGTTCCACCCACTTATACACATTTCGTGGGTTCATACAGTTACCTCCTTACTGTCCAACCATCCTGCGGTAGATGTCGGCGGTCCTCACGCTTTCTCATCATAAAAATCTGATAACAACACGTTGTTCTGCAACTGTACAGGGTGGCGCAAAGATCGCGCACCATAGGGGATTTCACTGTTGCACTAAGTTAATTCTTGCTTCTTTCTTTGGAGGTAAGTGATGGCTGAAAAATTAACAAAAGACGAGAGGGTGGAGTTGAGATATCTTCAAACGTCATGTGCGAATCGAAGTGTTTTCAGGTAAATGGCAGACTATTAGAGCATTTACTGTAACTTACCCTATGGTGCGCGACTTTTGCGCTACCCTATACATGTCTCTAGTGACGCTGCCATTTTTTTATACTAGACAGTGGCCCTTCAGATGGCTGATTTTATAACTACACACGTAGGAAGTACCAACCTTCACCACCGAACAACCACTGTACCTGCAAGGTTGCACTTTTCATTATAAGTAATTCTTGTGTCTTTAATTATTGATTTTCCCTCGTAGGAGGATACTATGAGAGGTAGATAACGCTTGTGATGGGGAGAGTGCAATCTACAACATAGTCAGATATGCATTGCACGATTTCATCTACCTAGGTAGTAACACTCTTCGGGCGTCCATGTACGTTGTCAGCAAATGGCACGTTAACTACGAAGACTAGAAGTGCGAAAAAGAGAAGTGGCAGCTCTACTTGGTGACATGATACCTCCACCTAGGCTAAGCAATTTGCTTACACCTTGAGGTCGAAATCCAGAATGGTTAAGGAATGGCCAGTCCTTTCTCGTAGTGAGAAATTTTTTAATGCTAAAATGAACACCATAAATCCTTTGTGGCACCAATATGACATGAAACGAACCAACAATGTATCTCGCCCATATTTACCAGCATAACATTTTTCACAGCGATGAAAGTGCTTTTTCCTTATCATCAGAAAACCCAGGGGCGATACACATTCACAGGACTTAACTATTCCTGGCTTTTTATATTGGGAAAAGTGGCTGGAAAATGTTAATATTATGATGTGAGATTGTTTTGGAAGGTCCCTCATTAACGAATTCGGACATTCCATGACTTCTGGTTTCATGCAAGATTGGAATGTGAATCCAATATAGTTCAGCGGAGGACGTGGACGTGATCTTGTCTGGCGTGGAGAGGGACAAGAACGGAAGGGTCGTGAGTGCGAAGGCCATAATGAGTGTCTACATGCTCAAGGACAGGGGGAACACCACCAACATAAAGGGAGAAAAAGTGAGCCGCTTCAACGTTCTTGAGCTTGCACGATTTGCAAGACACACCTTGTAATTCCATCCTTCAGTCCCGATGATGTAACATTAGCAATTCGCGTTCATTCAAGGAAGATCGACAGGAACACTTAATTCCTATGTATTTGGAGATCAGGAACCGAGGAAATGAGTAAGCTATGTTCCCCCTCCCACGCCAAGAATGACTGCAATAATTGAACTGGTTTCTGGAACGACTCGACAGTGACGTGAGCTTCGGTACAACGTTGTTTTGAGTCAGTATTCAGTCGGATGGCGGATGATTCGCTCAGTGCTCTGCTGAACATGGAGCATAATCCAATCACACTCAAAAATAGGCCTACCTACTACCCCAACGAACGAAATGACGCCTCGTAGCATGTGCTTTTTTGCTGTAAAACGAGAATTAACGCTCTTTCTAAAATCGAAGGATGAACCTTGTGAATTTCAAGATAAGGCATACTAACCCGCGAAGGATAGCGCGTATTCAGTATCTCTCCATAGTTACCTCGATCAATAGAGCGTCTCTGTCTGTTATCTAAGTTCAGCGAAAAGCCTTAAGATTCCTCATTGAAATCAAATGCAGTAGTTAAAAACAGGTGGAAAATGCATCAAGTTTGGATGAGTAAGTTTTTGCAGATTAACTGAATTGAACCCTAACTGTGCATGGCTGAACCAATTATGCCTCAAATTGGATGTATTGATAGTTTGCACGTCATCCGCGTTGAGATGCGTTTAAGTTCCTCGTCCCCGTTTCAGACAATTTTACCCTGATCGCCCTGTGTATGATTATGATAGGCTTTTAATATTCAATTTTCTGCGGGTTTTACAACTTTTAATGGGTGACATACAGTAAACGAATCTTGTTTGATATATGCCTTAATGAATATGTGTCTGCCTTAATGTAGATTGACCCAGCCGCACATGCGTGGGAGAGGAAATTCATCGAAACTGTATTCCACAGCAACCTTCCCAAGCCACACGGGATAGATATCTTCGCCTTCGCAACACGCAGGTATAACTCATATCTCACATCTTGTACGCGTGGACGAACGCCGTAGCCACCTAAAAAAATTCAATTACAACTCATTCTCAATAGCTTTCGAGATGGAATCCGTGAGACGTTGTACGATGACATGTTGTACTTTGTCCTTGGTTTCGCTCTCGTCACCATCTATGTGTCCATCAACTTAGGGCGATGCAGCTTCCTTCAACAGCGAGTGAGTTCGAATTGGAAACTATACCGGGTGGCCCAAAAAAAGGTTCCGAATTTTACGCGCCTGCAGATGGTGTACCATTTGTGTTACGACAGGAAGTTTACAGACTTTTACAAGCAAATTTTCATGTAATGTAACAAAAATTTCAGTGGAATTGGTTGTAAGCTACACGAGTAAGGTTTCGGAAATGTATAAGGTACTTAATTTCCTTGCTTAAATGCAATGTAAAAGCGTCGGATCTTTAGACGATTCTAAGCAGTTTTCCGAATGCTTTAGGGTTATTTTCAAGTCTCGTCTAACGTCACACCTCTGCTTTTATTGCTATAAGTTGGTGTTTGTCATTTTTATAGAAGCAACAAATCCATGTATTCTCCTATGCTTAACCTACGTAACATTTAAAGGAGAAAAGGTGTCAATAAACAATCATCTCCCATAATGACGCATTTGCATACATGCACAAATATAAATTTTATAAAGTGATTTACAATAGTCGATTACATGCGTGATGCACCGCAGGTGGAAAGAAAAATATGGTTAAATATGCCATACACATTAAATTCACATGATATGGGAATCCTGTTAGGCGGGAAAACCCATTATCCAAATTTCTGTTCTTTACCTGAGGAGGTCACTAAACCACTCGAAAAATTTTTCCTGCTTAGGTCTACCTGGGCCTGGCTGCAGTCTTCTCCATCATATTGACAGTTCTGAGTGCGATTGGACTGTGTCTATACCTTGGGATTCTTCCGGGAGAGCTCCACAACTTGATGCCTTTCCTCATTCTTGGGATTGGCATCGATGATACACTCGTTATCGTCCAGGTATTTTAATTACACACTCTGAATGCACTCTTTTTTCGAGGTTCTACTTCACTCATACCAATTCCAGTACTAAGTTCTAAAACAGGGGTTTCTTAATAATACCCCTCTCAGCAATAAATATAAAAAAGAATTTAAATTGAATTAAGAGTAGTTTCAACCAAAACCACCTCTCATTGCCCTCAGTCAATTCTATCCTGGGGGGTATAGTGGCCGCCTTCTCGTGGCCCTCCCCGTTAAGGGAACCTGACGATCACCTGGTAATTGCTCAAAACGCGAACTAATGCCCCTACATCAGAGACTAAACGCCGCTTCCCGGCCTCTGTCACAATAGCGACCACACAAAAATTACCCATACGAAAGAAAGAAGATTGCTCCCAGTGTCATGTTGTCAACTTCGTATTCACTTCAGATTACATATATTTCGTGGTTTCAGCTTGGAACGATCAAATTCTATAACGGGCATAAATAAAACAAGGGGATTTCGGCCTTCTCGATCGAAATTGCCATTAGAAAACGGGGCATTATTGGAAATCTGACGATGGATAAGTTTCTCAGAATTTTGATGGGAAATTTTTTTGGAAGTCTCTGATGCTCACTTTACAGAAATTATGCTTCATTTTGAAGCAGCTCTACAACGATGAGAGAAATAGATCAAAGAGTACGATACGTCTTCAATGTAATACTGATACCTCATAAACTTCACCTCGATGAAGTTATACACGAAATGAGGCTTTTAGTTAATCTTGTTTCGCTGTGCACTCCAGAAGAAATAATTGCATATAAAAACGTCGAGCCACGCCAAATCTTTTTGCTTTTTTTTTCCATCGAGCCATTTCGTTTCGCTATTCCATTTACCTGCCAGTTAGACTTCTTTCCTACTCGATGTTGATTCAGTGCCTGGAGATGGCATTGGTAGGAGGAGAGACCTTAACGGTAGAGGAGCGTGTGGGGGAAGCATTGAAAAGGGCTGGAGTATCCATCACCATCACATCCCTCACGGACATCTTCGCATTCTGCATGGGAGCCACCACGGTCTGTCTTTTTTTTCTCACCAGCTTCTGCCTCTTCTCGAAATCATGTAAGTGATTGCAGCCATCAGAGGAAGGCCTGAGTCCAATATCCTTAGTCAGTCATCGTACTGAACACATATCTGCTCCAAAGTTGCCACCACGAGTGAAATGAATAATAGGGACTAGTAGCAGACATTTTTGATCTGATACAGATTTACCTAGGTATTTCGAGGTAAATCGTCATTTAGGCCACTGAATGAACACATATCTGCTCCAAAGTTGCCACCACGAGTGAAATGAATAATAGGGACTAGTAGCAGACATTTTTGATCTGATACAGATTTACCTAGGTATTTCGAGGTAAATCGTCATTTAGGCCACTGAAAGGGACTCGAAGGCATTAGAGTTCTCTCTTTAGAAGGAAGTAATTTTATTTATAATACTGTAAATCCAATAATTCGCTGAGTTCTGGAAAAACTTCAACTGCTGGTTTTTCTTGCATCTGGAATTTCATTATAAACATCAATATGGAACATTGTTGCTCAACGGTCTACTGGAGAAACTCCAGTTCCTGTCGCACTCAGTGCGTAAAATGTGGAAATACATAGAGCGAAATGTATTATTAAAAAAACGTAGAAACTGAAGAGATCAAAGGGGAGCGGTGTTGAATAAAATAATTTGTTAAAATATCATTTGGACATAATCAAGTCTAACTTTGAATAATTCGAGCTATGCCACTGTGGGCGTGCACTTGATGCCGGAGAACATTTTCATCCGTGTTCTGTAAATTTCTATTCTTCAGAAGGTTCCAAGTCCTTCATTTCTCTATCTGAACAGAAAGTACCGATGCTTCGGAGCTTCTGTATCTACACGGCGGTTGGGATCTTCATCATCTACGTCATGACCTTGTTATTTATCGTCCCGATTTTATCTCTGGACGAAAAAAGACGAGACAGTCGGAGAGAGGCATGCCTGTGTATCCCATTGCCAGACGACTACAAAACGAACAATTGCTCCCAAAAGCTCCTTCTTAACAGCTTTTTCGACCGGATCGTGGGACCTGTGCTCGCCAAAACCCCTGCGAAGGTTGTTTACATACATAAGTAAGAATGAAGAATATAATGAAATCTCAAAAGCTCGCTGTGACGTTATTGAAAATTGTATTGCAGGTAGTCGTGGTGCTACTCACAATGGGTCTCTTGGGTCTCAACTGCTGGGGAATGTCTGGGTTGAAACTGGATTTTGACAGAACCTGGTACTTGGGTCCTGGATATCAAAGAGATTTCCTGTCCGCTCTCCGCAATCTCTTCCCAGAAAGCGGTTACAGGGCCGAATTTTATCTTGGTACGTCTATTATCACTGCAAGACTAGGAGCCTTAAAGTGAGTATTGCGTTGAAGAAGGTTTTGTTTTAGGGAATGTGGATTACTTCAAGGAGAGAGATGCTTTGGAGGAGTTGTACACGAGGATGTCTGCTCTTCCAGGATTGAAGGACAGATCCGTGAAATTCTGGTATCACTCCTTCCTGGAGTATCTCCAGAAAGAAAACGGCATGTCATTCTGAATATAACTTGGTCCTCGTTGTTTGTTACATTTGGTGTGTTTCATAAATGGGTTTTAGCAGATGCAGCACTAGAAATGGGCACAATGACTCAGACGCTGCCAAATACGAAAGGTGGAAAATTAATTCCCCCGTGAACCATGAAGGATAGGAACGTATTGGTGCTTAAATTACTACATCATTTGGACAAAAGTAGAGGACGGGTTGAGTTCATTATTCAAAATTTGAAACTCAGTAAATTAACTTGTTCACTCTACTGGTCAGTATGTAGTGTTGTAAGAAGACCCATAGACAATTGAAGGTCTGGAAGTAAAAGTAGTATATCTTAAAGAAAAAAAAACCTTTTTCCTGGAGCTCCACACAGAAAAACTGAATATTTCGGCGACCGTCCCTTTAAAGTGAGGAAAACTGGTATGCATATATAGATCAGTTCATCTTTTGCATAACCACAAAATATATAATTTTTATGAAAGGAACAAGGCTTTATCAGCACTGAACCTACTATAATTTTTCGGAAACATATATTGCAGATAGACCGGTTTACCGTTTAGCTCTTCAATTACTTCATTATACACAGACGTGTCGGACTATACCGTAGCTGTTGAAATTATGACATTTGGAGGATTAGGAAGTCACTAGAGGTTTTTTTTTGGAAAGGTCCATTCTGCAAGTTCATTAAGCCTATCAGATCATGGGAGTTTCGTTTTTCAGAGGATTATCCAAAATCAGAGATTATATTAAAAGATAAGCTTTCCACTTTCCTGGTCTTCACTAAGAAGGGACGGAGATATCTACGCGATATTAAGTACACTGGAAACCTCTTACTTGACTTCAATATCACCGTGAGTGCAGGCTGTGTGTAATCTGAAATTCCCAAGTAATTCTGTCACATAATTCAATGTGTTTACTGAAGGTTTCACGGGGAAGTTACCAACACGTTCAGTTCGATACCGGAGTCGAGAAACGACGTGGGCTCGACGATGTGGAAGAGGTTCTGGATTCAGTGAAATTCAAGTCAAGTGATCCCTTAAAAAGATGCTTCTCTCTCGAGTATCTCAACATCCGAAATAATCAGGTAACTTC